TCACTTGCCTTCAGGTTAGCTCGTTCGCTACGCTCACTCGCCTCCAGGTTGAAGTTCGTTCGCTACGCTCACTCACCTTTTGGTTGCAAATTAGCTGTTGTCATAAATGTAAAAGAAATAATAGTGCTGCACCCTGTTGGTAATCCTTGTAACTTTAAGAGTCTTCCTTAGTGGAAGCCATGTTGGATTTCTTCCCCATAAGAACAATGTTAACTTTGGGTCCAAATATCTCATCAGCAAATTGTCATATAATTATGGATAAGGAGTTAAATTTAAGGAATTGCGGTCCTCTAGAGATTGACGTTTTTTATTTCACAATTTTTAATTTTTATAATGAATAATTGATTATTAATTAGCTTAAAATTAAGCTAATTATTGAAAGGAAATGAAAATGGATTTTCGAAATTCAAAAACCTCAGTCACGAGTCTATTATGTTAAAAATACAAATTATAAATTTCAAAGCTATATCTTAACAAATAACGCCGTTACGTGTCCACAAATGATGTAATGTTTAACATTGTTCTTATGGGGAAGAAATCCAACATGGCTTCCACTAAGGAAGACTCTTAATGCTATTGAACATCATAGAACAGAACCAACTTGATTAATTGAAACAGCTGTTAAGATTCATTAATTCCATTTCTCATAAGGTTAACATGGGAAACTCCAGAGCCACTGGGGCGGAGCCCTTTTAAGAATTTCGAAACGGGAAATAGTTTACGTCCGATTCGCATACCTACAGAATTTACACACCAAATTTCATAACGATCGGTGAAGTCGTTCCGGAGGAGTTTGCAGACAAACACTGTGACACGAGAATTTTATATATTAGATAGATTTAGCTTATTCCAGTCAGTGATGTGTCAAAACCAAATATCAAATCTCAAAACAATCAAAACTTTGGAAAAGTTTCAGTTTTGAGATTCAATTGGCAAATTTCGATTCAAAGATTTCAAAATTAAAATTGGTGGTGCTTATTTTTGAAACTGCTTACATTTTTTTGGGTCATTATTATTGTTTAGCTGGTAGCAATAGAGCAAACAGATCACCATTCACACTAATGAAACAAGTAAATTGTATTCTGAAATGCAAAAGACAACTTAAATACAGGAACAACGTACAATTCAGTTTCATTTCAATATTTATTATTCACAAAGAACTATTGACTGCTAAATGTTCTAATTAATCTAATATTCATGATTATGTTGGTGTCAAGAGTTAATTTATTTTAATGTTATGTGTTTATTAAGTTTTTTTTGTTTTGGGTTTTAACTTACTCAGTTACACATTTATGTTATTATGTCTGGATAAGGAGTCAATCTCTTTCAGTTTTGATGGCATAATGAGCATTTTATCATTGCCTGTATTTTTTGCAGGTAACAAAGTTTTGAATTTATGTTTTGAGATTCGAGATTCGGGTTTTGATTTTTAAAGTTTCGGTTTTGGTTTCAAGATTAGAAATTTCTGGTTTTGACCATCACTACCAGACAGCAAACTAACAGCATTAATTTTACACAGCTAAGCTAGGAACATGTCACTGTAGACCCAGCACAGGGCCGTCTGAAGGGGGGGGCAACCGGGGCAAGCTGCCCCGGCCGCCGTGGCTGAGGGGGCGCCGCGCGGCGGCTATTTGTACAGTATTCGTAGTATTAAAATATGCAAATGCTACTACTACTGGTGGGGAGGGGGCGCGACGACCACATTTGCTCCGGGCGCCGCCAACCCTAGGTACGGCCGTGACCCAACAATTGTATTATTGCAAAAAGCATACTGTTTTTAATAGCCACAATCATCAAATTTGTATTTTTAATTGAAAATACACTACTTAAACTTTTTCCAGAAAATAGTTTTTAGTATTATAAAATAGTACCCAGATGGCCCAGGGAATAAGGCTGCCTTTTTCATTCAAAGATAATGTCATTTAGTCCAGACAACTGAGATAGTGTCCAGCCTCCAGTCGCCTCCGTGCTCTTTTGTTACACATATACATATCTAAAACTAAAATGCATGATAGTTTGATTAATTCTCGTACTCACAGTTGCAGCTTTATTCCAGTGAAAAATTACCAAATGAACTGGAAAACCATGCTAGAATTAAGAGATTTTACATTTTACCTGGCCAAGCCCCCTTCAGAACCCAGGGCCCCGGGGCTCTGGCCCCCCTGCCCCACCCTCTAGCCGACCCTGTCTGATGATATAGAGATGAAATATTTGCTAACTCATGTCAAACTCATTGTACTATTTTAAACTTTTATGTCTGTTTAGTTTCTTGTAGAAAATAACACATTTTTGAACTACACATTACATTTCAGTTTAGATGTTTTTAGACAAACGGCAATATTGCTACTTCCAAATATCAGTGACGTAGCCAGGATTTCAAAATAGGGGGGGTCGACCGACCGGGCCCAGGTTGAAGGGGGGGGGTCCGGGAACTTTTTCGAAAATATAGGCCCTAAAAGAGTTTTTTTTAGCTCTCGCTCTCCTATTATTGAAAATAATCAACCCCAACGTCAGTCCAGTAATATTATATAATTTTACCTTTGATTTAACAAAAAAATATTATATTTAGGCTCGGAAGGGGGGGGTCCGGACCCCCAGGACCCCCCCCCCCTGGCTACGTCACTGCCAAATTATACATGGCGAAATAATCAGTACAAAAAAAAGGGATAGAAATTACAATATTTCAAACCCATTATTAAACTAAAACATAATTATACATTAAATATTTCTGATCAGAATAATTTTGTTCAGATTTTGCCCTAGATCTATGTTTGACGTAAACGTGATACTTTTTTCATTCGCTGTTTTGAGACCTATTTTGGATGATAAATTGTCATACCATAGTGAAAGAAAAAAATGTCGCGCTTATGTCAAACATTTGAGGCAAAAAATTAACAAAATAATTCTATTCAGAAATGTTTAATATGTAATATGTTTTTGTTTAATAAATTAAGTTTGAAATTACAAATATTATCTAATATATAAAATTCTCGTGTCACAGTGTTTGTCTGCAAACTCCTCCGGAACGACTTCACCGATCATTATGAAATTTGGTGTGTAAATTCTGTAGGTATGCGAATCGGACGTAAACTATTTCCCGTTTCGAAATTCTTAAAAGGGCTCCGCCCCAGTGGCTCTGGAGTTTCCCATGTTAACCTTATGAGAAATGGAATTAATGAACACAGCTGTTAACAGCTGTTTCAATTAAACAAGTTGGTTCTGTTCTATGATGTTCAATAGCATTAAAGTTACAAGGATTACCAACAGGGTGCAGCACTATTATTTCTTTTACATTTATGACAACAGCTAATTTGCAACCAAAAGGTGAGTGAGCGTAGCGAACGAACTTCAACCTGGAGGCGAGTGAGCGTAGCGAACGAGCTAACCTGGAGGCGAGTTAGCGTAGCGAACGAGCTCCAACCTAAAGGCAAGTGAGCGCAGCGAACGAGCTCCAACCCAAAGGTGAATGAGCGTAGCGAACGAACTTCAACCAGGACGTGATTGAGCGATGCGAACGAGATCATCTTGAAAATTAAACGTAACGGTACTTTCTTTCCATCGGTCTGTCTTAAGGGAAACCTTTAACTTAGGCGATACGAAGTTCGCCGGGTCAGCTAGTACTTTCTATAATTTCTTTGCAACCACTGATTATTTTACAATGTACAACAAATTTAAAACTAGCACTATCAGTAAAGTTGTCCAAAACTGAGTTTAGTGAATGTGCAGTTTTAACACGTTTGGTGTGGGCCGGTCGCTGAGGACCGGCCGTGAAACCTGAATCAGAATCAGAATCAGAAACCTGTGTGCAGGCTGGCCCGGTCCCGCTGAAATGAATCAGTCATTGTGGCTTGACGAGTGGACGGGAGTTATTGCGTGTGCACTACTAGCATAACCTAACCTCTATTGAGTGTGTTTCACCCGCTGTTCCCGCGGACCAGCGCCGGTCACCCGTGACCCGTAACATTTATTGACGTACTTCTTTTAGGTTTTTTTATTTGCACAACAATATTGTTTATTGTTTATTAGATTAGTTTTTGTGACTTTAAATAAAAATTGACTCTTCAACACCAGAAACATTGACTTGTCCGGACAAACCAGGATTGTGCAAAGGAAATTGTTATAACCAGTTCCACTACACAGTTTGAGTGTAAAAAACCAATGGATGGGATGGAGGAAGGGGCTGTAAATAATTTTAAATATTAATCATAGTGCAATTTAACATTTTTAGTGTGTGCTTTTTAAGTTTAAATTTTTACTATAGACTTTCAGTGTTGGTCGCCAGTGACCGGCGATTTTAGACACCATTTTTGGGGGGGAAAAAGCTCAAAACACCATTTCCAACCTGGATCCTAACTTTTGGGAACAAAAGGTAAGAATTTAATGTTAAAAAAAATGTTCAGGCCTTGGGGAAGCACCCACTGATATTTTTACCGCACTCAATGTGTTAAACAGTTCAAATGGGTTATTTTATTTTCTGTAAGAAACAAAACAGCCATTAAGTTTTGATGGTAAAAAGTGTTTGACAAGTGTTAGCAATATTTTATCCCTATATATATATTTCAACAGAGCAGCAATAAAATTTTTTTAATAATTTTATAATGGTGAGTGTATGGTCTGCTTTGGCTTCTGCCTATCGGGAATGGGGGAAGGTAGACCACACGGCCAACACTGAGCCAGCGATCTATGAGTTGTTTATCGTTGCTGATGACTGTGCAGTGCTTTAAGCTCTTATGGGACTACGTCATAATGGTCATAGACTAGGCAACACAAGAAGTATGTTTTATCTATGAATACGTTCACAAACACTGAAATACATTGACATTAATGTAGCTTTGCTATGGGTTGGAACAAAATTAGATAATTTCCCGCATGCTCAGTGCATCAGTTTTCCTATTCAGGCTGCGCTCAAACCTTTTATGCAACTGCACTAAATGTGTCAAAAACTTCTAATATGTAAATATAAATCCTTAGACAGATTCAGGAGTAAGACATCACAAATATTCTTCTAGTAATAATTATTTATTTTATTTTACATGAAAAGGAACAGATATCTGTTCAACATAAATATTCCGCATTGAAAGCGTTTCAGTCATTATGACAAATTATGATATACATTAAATAAGTACAATGAGACCTGACTGTGGTGAGCCTATGTGCACCAGGACAATAGTGCTAAACCCACAAACATAATCATATCCAACCGTACATTATTGAGCAAAATATAAACTTGATTTTAAATTTGTTCATTTCTTAAAAATTGTCTTTATATTCAAATTTTCGGTTTTTATAGGAGATTTGGCAAAATAAATCATAACTAAACTAAAACTCACACAAAACCATATTTTATCCAAAAGTCTACAATAAATAAATAAAACAAACATGGCTAGTATTAGCGGACCTAGGAGACAGTACTCAATGTTGAATCACGACGCTTGTTGAGCTAGTACTCTACAATATTCAAATTCAATGACAAGAAAATTACTGTTACTTATTAAAGTACATCCAGACTGTTCCTACTTACCTTAAACAAACATTATAAAAATAAACTTACGCTTAAACAAATATATACAAAATTACGTTGTGAAGAGAACCTAAATCAACTAACTCAGTGTAGGAAACATTCAGTGCTACAATTGTATTACTTCTTTCGATTTCTTAATAATTACTAAAACTTATCTAAAATTGCAATATATAATCAATTAATGTTTATCAGCCCTAATTCTGCCCTATTTCTATCTTCTATTCACAAACTTTCTCATTAAGTGTTAAATATTTACTATTAAAAATGTGTTTCTCATCCATGGTAGTTCTACGTTCTGATGTGTAATATATTTATTTAACGACACACTTTGATTTGCCTGTATTATTTATCTATGTTATGTACTTGACGTTACATGAGAGAGTGCAATAAAGTAGTAAGTGCCAAGCTAACTAAGTACACACTCACAAAGCCAATAAAGAAACTTTAATAGTTGAGATCAAATCTGAGAGAATTACATATTACAAACAACACGGATATATTTCATCTTAACTGTATCTTTCTGTAGATTTCTATAATTTCATCATTCTACACAAAACATTCAACAGGGCAGAACATGAATTTATTACAATAGTAAAGTCAGCGGAAACATAACTGCGACTTTAGTATATCCGTTAATGAAGTTTAACAAATAAATACAGCGACTTGGAGGTGAGGATGGTTCTAACTGTATTTCAGGGCCTGGGCCACCCCGTTCACAGTCTTTGAAGTGAGGACGTCGTTTTCATATTGAAGAACTGTCTCTTTGCCGTTCTCTTGCACTCTGGAAAAAAGAGAAATTCTTGTAAATAATGTTTGTACTTATGAAATTGACATTGAATATTCTGCTAAGAGAGGTTGAAGAAAGTATTATGATACCCTGCATTTTCTGCAATTTATTCTCCATATAAAAAGAGGATACCTCAAACGAATTTGCCTCCATAGACATAAGTGCCCACAATAACTAGACTGTTTCCTTGGAATACTCCTTGGTTTGGTACCTTGCAGTATGTGGAATCAACGAGTAATTTTTAAATTGGGTGATTATTAATCAGTGCTAATTAATTTGAAAAGGTGGATATAACAGCAGGATGGGGTTTCAAAATATTTGTTATTGGAAGGTACTGTGGCAGCAAGTGGTCACCAGAATAGAAGTCTTTTAGAATCATTAAGACTAATCGAAGAAGCATTGCATACCCAGGGACTGAGGCCACGCCAAAGTTAGACACAATAATGTTGGGAAAGATAAATGCAACTGCAGATTTTATAGAAGAAGGGTTAAAATTTGTTGTCATGATCTTTAGAGCCTTATTATATGCAGCCACTCGAGTGGCGCGCGACCGCGACTGCTCAAAGGCCACATTGAGCGGGCCATGTTATCATATGGAGCTTATTAAGCGACGCGACTGGAGTGGCCAGTCGCGCACCCTCCCTACTAGTGACGAGCCCATGTGACTGTCCTGCCACCAGCAATCCATGAAATCATATGCTGTTCATTACATCAGAGGGTCACAGCCCCCCACCCCAACCGCACATTGCCTTAGTAACAATTTTTGTGTCAAAATTGTATCATTTTTAATTATATCATTGTGTTTAAGGTTATTATTTATGTCAAAACTATTATATTTACTTAAAGGTAAGTGCTAGCCTCTCATTAGATTAAATAAAATTATTCACATTCTTGTGGGATACGGATAAGTCAACGTCTATTTATTCTGAAAGTTCATCAAAAGAACGTTTTGACATCCAAATTAAAAAAAAAAACTTCTTGTCATCCTTTCTGAGATCATTATAAAGTGTGAAAAATACTCCTTTTGAAGGTGTCTTTATTATAGTAACGGATGGACTCCAATCTAAAACTATTAATTACTATTAATTTTGTTTTTAAGTAAAAGTAGATGACATAATTCATCTTATCATTCACACAGAGAAACAACATACAAGTCTGTATGAAATTCGGTCAGACACCCGACCTCGCCACACCTGTCGCTTCCCCTAACCATATCTGTGGCCGGGTAAAGCGACTGAGCAGTCGCGGTCGCGAGCCACTCGAGTGGCAGGACATAATAAGGCTCTTAGGATTGATTTCAAAGGTTCATCTAACTTGGAAGGTCTGTACTACATATTTAGATAGCTCAATCACTAGGTTAGCGAGTAAATCTTGGGCTTAGGTTTCTCTTGTAAAAAAAAAAAAAAAAAAACGTGGCCAGTGAGAGAAGTGTACTATACACGTATCTAAACAGGGTGTTCAACCAACCTGGACAATGAGAATTGTGCTTAAATTATGTATGGATCAAAGATTACAATGATCACCAATAGCCAATAAGCCTTAATTCATTGACAGTGTTCCATTGGTTCTCTAAGTAATAAGTAAATCATCCACAAATCAAAGGGAGACCATCACAGTATTACTGATACCGTAACACAAGAGATGACCACAATGAAGTTACGAGTGATTACAATATCGCCGAGACAGCAAAATATGCTTGCCAGTGTTACCGCAGACATGAGTGACAGTCACAGTATTGCCGAGACTGCACGATATGCGAGTATTGCCGCAATCACAAGGGATGATCACGATATCGCCAAGGCCGGAAATATAATTACAGGTATGGCCGCAATCACAAGTGACAATTAGGCCCCGTCCTAGCTGGACGGCAAGAGTGGCACGACCGACAAGAGCGACACATACAAACACATGGTAAGTAATGGGGGTGTCCTAGCTGAGCAGCAACAGCGACGTATCTCCTGTCGGTCGCGCTACAAGCGCTTCAAGATGCAAACATGTTTGTATTTGGTAGCGCTACACCAGCGATGCGACAAATCGGCATACACCACAACTGCCTCAGTCATTGTTGCGTACCTTGTCGCGCCGCTCAGTGTGAACACACATTTTGTCGCCGACAGCAGCGACTGTTGGGCGCGTCGCTGTTGTCGTCCAGCTAGGACGAAGCCTTATGGTATCGCCGAGACTGCAAGATGTGCTCACGGAATTGCTGCAATCGTGGGAGACGATAAAAATTTAGCCAATACCGCAAGATACACTTACAAGTGTTGTGGCGATATCGTCGGCCACGTCTATGTGTGATAATCAATCATGGTATTGCCGAGACCGCAAGATATGCGTGATAGTGTTGCCGTGATATTGACAATCATCGGTGTATACCATCATATAAAAAACATTTTCTCAGTAGGCCTTTGCAGGCCAGAAGTGGCCCACAGGCCGTAGGTTGGAGACCCTGCTTTAGACCACAGAAATATATATTTTAAAAAAGTGATTTTTACTTGGCAGGAATTCCTCTATTTCCCCTTACATTACAAACTAATAACTTACTTTTTTGTAGTGATTTTCTTTCCGTTAATAAATCTAGTTGATGTGGAGGTTCGCTTGACAGCTGGATTACTTCCCCCGCCAGAGCCAAACGATGTGGAGAAGGATGTGAACTGTGCTGAGCCTGCAACAGACATAGACTTTATAAAAACCTGTTACCATTTCAGTAGATCTTACTTACACATGCCTAAAGAAATTTTGACCAATGATACACTCATACAGTGAAAAAGGGGAATTTGTTTCAGCGCACAACTGACGTGTTTTGTCCGTGTACGTTTGATTTTTTATGCTTGAAGAAGGAAAAGTTTTAAAACCCGAATGGTTCACTTTCCACCAGCTAATGGCTGGTATAAACTAGCAATTTCTATTCATGGTGCCTATATTTTTTAAATTCCAAACATTAATTAATAAAAAAAGGTTATCTAGAACAACCCCTCCCTGTAGAGGTTTTCCTCTACTTCAGGCTAAGTCTAGATAGTCTTGGTAATAAGAAGTAAGAAGCAATCGGTGATGGGCAGGATCAGGGACTGAAGCTCCTATAGCGGTTGTCAAAGGAACTGGTCAGCGTGTGGTACTACATGTACACGCTTTACTTCTTTCATGTGAGCTGCTACCACTAATTGACTTGTCCAATAAAATCAGGCCTTTAGTTTTATTTATTTATTTTAAAAAATCACAAAATTGTATAGGCTAAAATAACTTGCTGCAAAATTCAGGAAAATTTGATTTTTGAACGTTTCCTTGTTACCTTATTGCCTTTGTTCTTGTAGAAAGATGTTAAATCCTCCAATATATTTCGCCACAGTGTGTGGCATCATCAGGGAGATGAGAAGATCTATTTACACATTTTATATACACACTGTTTATATACACATCACCAGACCGTGGGCTTACGTCGCGGCGGCTTCGCGAATGCGAGTGCGGGCGCGGACGCGCGACGGACACCTGTAGGGGATTACACTAGTACCGTCACCGTCTTTGTTCACTGACCTACTGCTGAGAAGGGTTGGTTTTGCGGGTTGAGAGTCTATGCTTTGTTGGGGTGGGAAACTTTCTCTATTGCGGGGTTGCCAAATCGTTCGTAAATTTACATTGTTGCCGGTTGGTGCTGTATTTTATTTTCTATGTCGTAAATGGTTTCAAAAATGACTGAACTGTTGTATTATTCTTTTTTATTAAGTAGGTTGTCTGGTCCATTTTTGTTGACATGTTTGTAAATTTTGTAGCTCTCTTGTACTTTAGCTATTGTTTTGGAAAGAGTGTAGTTAAGTACTGTCAATGAATCAGAGAATGTTATTTTGTGGGTAGAATTTTGTTTAAGATGTTTGGCCACTATTGAGGTTGGATTATTATGATGGGCAGTGTTGTGTTCTTTGAAACGCTTATCAAAAGTTCTGTTGGTATATCCTATGTATTGTTTATCACAGGGAGAGCATGTGATTTTGTATACACCTTTTTTCTCCGCTATCGATTGGTCTGTGGTGACATTCAAATTATAGTTTGGTACCGGGTTGGTTTTAACTTTATATGCTGGGTTGTATCCTGCTTTTTTGATTATTCTTCCAATCTTTTCTGTGGTTTTGTCGATGTATTGGATGGATACATATTTCGGTTTTGTGGTTCCAGTATTAATGGTGTTATTGGATGTGATAGGCTGTTCTCTATTTATTTTCTTTTTCATTTTGTTGATTATCGTGTCAACCATTGCAGGATTATATCCGTTGTTTTTGGCAATGTTTTGAATTATGTTTTTTTTTCTTTTTTGTATTCATCCTGATTTAGGTTGTAGTTCAGGAGTCTATAAACTAAGGAACGGAAAGCTGCCAGCTTTTGGTTGTATGGGTGGTTAGAATCTGCAGTAATTACAAGGTCGGTCTGTGTGGGTTTTCTGTAGATTCCAAATTGTCTTTCTACAAGAACAAAGGCAATAAGGTAACAAACGTTCAATAATCAAATATTCTAGTTCTTGTCACTGGGAAATACTTCAAATAAGCAGGAAAATTTGGCTTGTCTGCAGCTCATAGAGAAAAATTGGTTCTTGGTAACAATCTACTTTGTCTTTGGTCAGTCCTAATCACCGCTTTGGTTTTCCTTGTTTCTGGTCAACATCTGCTTTTACTGTTGTTTCCACTTATACTCTACCTTTCGAAGACAACTTTTTTTAAAGACTGTTTGCAATGTAAGTTCAATGTTTTCTCAGTACAATATAATAATTTATTTTCTGTCTAAATTAGCAATTTCTGTGCTATGTGAGCTTAGTTCTGTACTTTCAATATTAAGCCCACAACTAGCAGTCCTACTTGTTTGAGTACAGTTATTGTGCTCTAAACTAACTTCTGGATCACAAGGAGACCAGTTAAAGAGGACATAAAAAAATTTATCAAAATTCCAAACAAGCTTTGGAAAGGATAAATTAAGTTTCAAAAGCGCTAAATTGTGTGGGTGATAATGTGCAAATTATGGGCCAGAAGACAATTGTGCACATCTAACACCTAAGCAAGTGCTTAATCATCTCTCCGCTCACCCAAAAATCCATCATCAGGGAGACCTGAAATAGTTAAACTTATACTATGTAATGTAAGAACTGGTAAAAAAATTAACAAAGTACACACTGACTTTTTACTTCATGTAAATGCTCATCTTTGTGAATGTTTGAAGAATCTCTTCTTTGTAATGGATTAATTCATGGGTATTTGGTCAATTGCGTAGTTTGAAAGTATTGTTTTTTTTTTTGTCAAAGTAGTTAACACAATAATGGAGCTGAGTTTGCAGTAACATACCATGTACATCTTTTTAATTTTACTAGCGGGAAAGAAATTTATAAGGACTGGAAAGTAGAGTAGAAGACGCAAAAGAAATAATTTACAGTGAGCCTCAGAAATGTACAACTAATAACATAACTTCACAAGAAAATGAGTTAATTGAAGTTATTTTTTGCACTAAGACTAAATCACGGAATTAAACATTGTCACTAAAGATATTTAGAATTGAAAGCTACAAAAAAGCAGTAAAAACCGGCTTAGTTAGAAAAAAATTAAAAGTAACAATGTAAAACTGAGGGTACAGTTTGGAAACATAAACTTTGCTTCAAGCAGAGCTGTGTTTTCATACATCTCTGATAACTGTTATCAAACTTGTTGCAGTGGTTCTGATAATACAGACTGCTGGCATTGAACAAATATTACAAACTTCAGTGTATGGAAAAATTTATGTAACAAAAAACCTTATATGTACTGTAATTAATTTACTGTTTTAGAGTTGTGTTGTTTTTTGTTGACAGACTTTTATGTTTAAATTGTACTAACATTTTTCTGCAACACTTGGCAAGCACAACATTTGTCTATAAATGCATTTGCGTTAAGACGTGGTGATCTTTCTTCTTATTTTAACTTATTATTCAAAATTTACAAAATTATGCATTTGAATATTCTCTGTTCATGTCTGACATCAGTGACTGTACCAATGGAGGTTCGTCCAATGTCACTCTTATCCTACACAGAGTCACAAGATTGTACACAAGTCTTTAATAAATCTAATATCTGAAATAAGACTGTGGAAGTCTTTCTGGCCACATTGAGAACATAAAAAAGTGGTTAAATCGTGTGCATGGCTAGTGGTTGGATCCAGAGCTAATAAAGAGAGGGTATACTGTAAATTTAATTGTTGTATATATTTTGAAAAAAACACAAGTGGAATAGAGAGCTTGACTTCAATTGATTTTACTTACCAGCGTGGGCGTTGCCGAACATGTCTTCGAAGCCGAGCCCCAGTCCGAGGCCAAAGGGTCCAAACAGGCTAGTGCTCAGTGTGCTACTAGGGTGGGAGTGTCTCTGCCTCGATCCTGCATCAACAATACTAATATAACGAACCAATCAAACACTCATATTGTGCTCATATTATTGCCTGATGTTGATAATACAAATTTGAATTTGAACTTTTTCTTTATTTTGAACAAATGAAACATATTTGAACTTTTCTGCCTAACTCAAACCACTCAACTCAGTATTTTCTAGTGAATTAGAAAATAGTGTGAAACAATAGGCCTAAAGCCCAATAAACACTGCACCCAATAACCCAGCTGTCGGAATTTCTAAGGAACCCATAAAGAAATTTTACACAAAACCCTAAGTCCTACATCAAGTTATTTACGGCTGTGCAAGCAATCGTTGTGGCAAACTTCAACAGAAATCAGTATATTACCATTGTCTGGAAGTGCTATTGTACTTTTTGGACATTGAGACTCTAAATTCACTTATAACAATAAAGAGTAACAATAAAACTTTGCGATTGACTAGAGTCAACACTAAACCCCATTCAATAAGCCTTTTCCTCTAATAAACAGTATAATCTTAGTCAAACAGGTTTTCTGGGACAGAGCGCCCTCTTGTATCCTACAACAAGGTGTTATCAGACAGTTAGTGACACAGGTCAGTGTCAAGTAGAAGTAACGGTTATTTGGAACAGTTGAGCGGAACCAATCAACTATAGCGGAACAGTGACAGCTATCTACTGTATGATTTAAAAAGTAATCATAAGCTACAACAAACAACTGGTGGACTACTTTGAAAAATCTTTACATTAGGCCTACATGGCTTATTGTTTAAGCATTAAAAATTGTTATAGTTTAACAAAATACATTGAGATTGTTTTAATAATGGATTTCTGGCGAGAGATTAATTTTTACTAGGCACTACAGGATATTTTGTAATGAATAAATGTGTAGAAATAATAACAAGTTAAGAAATAAATAGCTGTAATATTAAATGCTAGCTGTAACTAAAAGATTATGCATATCTACTAGAACTATATAGTCAACAACTTTAAAATAATATATCTAACAATTTTGTTTGTCTCATGATCAAGACAATTGAGTCGTAAAGTAAATCTTACCATGCATTCCCTCATCGGGTAGACCTGAAAGTCACCGAGGACTTGTAAGCATTGTTTATCACACTACAATACACGTTATGATGCTATAGAATAAATTATTTTCATTAGGTTATTATAATGCTTTTGTTGCTTTACAATGAAAATACAAGAGATTAAATAGAACTGTCTGAAAGAGATTCAACATAACCAAGTTACCAATTGATTGTTCTTAGGCTAAAGTCAACTCAGATTTTTAGTGGTCCTTCTAGCATAAATACAAATACTCCTGCCGCAGCAACCCAACAGACTAAGCGAATGTCCATTTGCCTGATCAGATTTCCACTGAAATATTCCCTTGAACATGTTATAGTGTTAGCAAAACAGGCCGATGGAGACCTGTGGGGGTGCGTGCGTTTGAAGGGACTTGACCTGGTCTCCATCGGCACTCCCGTTTTGCTAATACTGTAGTTAGATTTATTCCCCATTTAAATAAAATTAGGTTTAGTGAGTAGGCCTACCTAGATTTGCTGACAAGGAATGTGAGTTTATTTTTTAACTAGCATACATAAACACAACATTCTTGTTATATGATTAATGCTACAAAGTAATTGGCATGTGCTGTTTTGTAGCATTGAAAATAAAATAAATAAATAAATAAAAATATGTAAATTTTAAATTAACATTTTTCCCGCACGGTAACTATTAATTGTACAAAAATACTTCAAGATTTTTTCTCTCTACTAAATGGTTTTGGAGAGAGGCTCTGGGAAATTCTATGTTTTGAGAGTGAAGGATAAAAAACTAATTTTTAACCCCGTAACACCAAATTCCAATAGTTCAAACATACTGGTTTGCTATCTTGCTAAGCTTCTTTGAAGATAATAGAAACTGTTAACCATATTTATTTGGAATCACGCAGCATAAAATAAATGTGTTTGTCAACCATCTTTGAAAGGTTTATAACTAAAATCTACTACACATATTTTGTTCTTGTTTACAACCAAACAACTCTTGAATTTTGGGTACTGGAGTGATCTCACAATCCATAGGGACTAGCTGTAGCCAAATTTTTATTAAAAACCCCATAGTTGAATGAGCCACTCACAGAGAATCGTATAAAATTATTACATTTTCCCTCGGTTTTTATATTGAGATAGTTTATGTTACATTAAAGACGGTATGGTTAACAAATGTTGATCTTCAGTTTGGCTTGGCCAAAAAGTTGGCACATTTAACAGAAATAAATAACTAACATCAGTGTGCCATGTCAGTAGTTCAATTAGATGAACTACATTCTTTCTAAAACTGGTTACAGTTTTACTACAGAAATTATATGTCTTGTCCTATCATTAGTCAAAGAGAGTAGACAGAGAGACAAAACATAACTTACCTCCAAACAAATCCTGGAATGGTGACCCGCCAAAGAACTCTCTGAAGACGTCTTCTGGGTCTCTGAACGTGAAGGGGAAACCACCAAAGCCGTGGAAGTCAAAGTCAGCGTCATGGTGATGCCTGTTGCGGCCGCGAGATCTGTCCTGGTTCAGCCCATCTTTACCGTACTGGTCGTACACTCTTCTCTTCTTCTCTGTAACACAACATATCTGCTATACTACCTCACATAGTCACTATAGATACAGTATACACAGTAGATAACAAATACAGTACAAACTTTTTTTTCAAACTTGTTATAACCAACCCTTTTCTTCTCTAACTCATTAAAAATCCTTTTTTTCTGAAAACGTCCAGGAATCATGAGATACAAACCTCTTTTATTGGGATAACTGATAAGGAATCAAAGTTTTTAGAGAAAAATAATGTTAAATATGTTTTAGATAGAATATAGTTGTATAAAATGATACAGGATCTCTTTGTAGTTAGGACACAGAAATGATCTGACAGTCAGTGAAGCCCAAAAATAGGAATTAAAAAGTCAAAGTCAAAGTCTTTTATTAAGCCAGATTAACAATACATTGCATTGGCCAAGTCAAGAGATTACATTTATTATGATTAAAATTACTATAACTTATTATTTATTAAAAACAACAACTTCATTTATAATGTAGCAGAAACATTAATTCCTGTTACAAGTCTTAAAAGATACGTTAAACTTGTATTAAAAAAAAAGAAAGACAAGTGACCAACTGAGACTTGTGCAACTGGAACGCTCAGGAAAGCAACAGGATAGTCAGACGCAGTTGAATAATTGAGGAATTGGTTGTCCTGAGAGTTGGATATGAAGAGTTATTACAGTTACAGTAAATTCTAAATGTTGTGAGTTTGGATTATAGCCTATTACAATGATTATGGAAAGAAATAACACAGTGTGCGCATTACACATAGTAAATGTCATTTATATACTTTATATTTCAAAGAAACTGCACTGTGGCAAAAACTGATCATTGGGCTTTAAATAAATGATCCTGACTAATGAAACCGCTGATCTTAGTCAGTAACAAAGCTACACAGGTCATCACACTCCATTCCTTAACATTAAAGAACTCCTTCTTGAACCTTTTAAAGTCAAACTAAAACAATGGCTGAGTAGGAAGTGTTTTTATTCCATTGAGGAATACTTTACTACTGCAATGGACTTTTAAGTACATGAATCCGGCAGCCATGGAGTGTAAATATTGTAAATATTAGTTTATTAATTCTTAAAAGTAAATTTTATCTGACAAGATCAATCCAGACATCTGGTCAACGATCGCCAGTTGGTAATGGTAATTCTACACTCATCCTTCACTCATATTTGGGTTAAAATACGCACCTAGGTGGCGTCCCCATCTCAATAATTGATTGAACTGACCGTAAAAATATCAAAAAAACACTTTTTACATGTGACTAATAGCAGAGACCTTCAGTTGAAGAGGGAATAATATTGGAGGTTCCACTGTGTTTTTATTAGGTTTGTATCTCATGATTCCTGGACGTTTTCAGAAAAAAAGGATTTTTAATGAGTTAGAGAAGAAAAGGGTTGGTTATAACAAGTCTAGGACAATTTTTTTCCGGGCAATAAGTGAAATAAATATTTTTGGGTTTTGGTTTCCAATATATGTACCTTAAAACAGGAAAGAAGGAGATTTGGGACCAAGGTCATGTCATGAAGATTACAGTGAAGGCTGATTTCTTAAATGCAAATCGTTCAAACCAATCTATGTATATAATTAATACGCTACATGAAACTTTGTCGGTTGAACTCCTCAACCATTTCTTAACCGATTTTATCCCATTGACGTCTCATTGGAAAGAGCGTGTCGCGTAGATTTGCAAACTGGCCTTACATTTTTGAAAAAGTCCCTTGGGCTCTGCCCCAGTGGCTTTGAAAGTTCCCATGTTATCCTTATGGAGAACATCATTGTTTACATTTTGATCAGCTGTATAATTTAATTGCCGTTTTTATTTTTCAATTAAATGAAACGCATTGAGTACATTTATTTACTATTTGAGTTTGTCTAAACATAACCCACAAGACGGATCGCGTTAGTATGGTTGTATATTAAATTTGTATATTTATCGTTGTTTTGTGTCGCTTTGACGTAACGTATTAGAATGATTGTAACTTAAATTTGTGCATTTATCGTTGTTTTGTGTCGCTTTGACGTAACGTGTTAGAATGATTGTTACTTAAATTTGTGTATTTATCGTTGTTTTGTGTCGCTTTGACGTAACGTGTTAGAATTAAATTTGTGCAATTATCGTTGTTTTGTGTGGCTATGTGTTTTTTTGTTGTTTTTTCTTTTAAATGCCTCTGACGCGATGACAACGAAACACAGACAGGAGGCGTAATCGTGATAACGACCGCAGCTACAGAACAGTGGCGCGTAATAGGCTTAACTCATCACAGTCAGATTCTAACCCTGGACAATCTCAACTATTAGGTTACAAATGCGCCCTAACACTACCCCAAAACGACTTTTTGTTCTCAATTGCCCCTCTATCAATGACCTGTGTTGCCTGTACAGCGAGGCATTTTGAGAAGGAGAAAACAGGCCGGAATGCTTTAGGTTTATCAATAACGAAGATAAACATGGTCTGAGTTACACACCGGTAATCTTTGAGTTGACTCTTTTAGACTCATTGTAAATATGACTGTTATTCGTTTTGAAATAACTCCTGTAATACTTTGCAATTGCTCGAATTCGAGCAACATGTACACTAGTCTTAATCAAACCGTTTAATCGTTTAAACCAATCTCAATGATGGTACTTAATATTCTCAAAAATACTCTCAAAAATACTCTCAAAAATACTCTCAAATAGCACTCTCAATCCCTTACATGTACTCAGACTTACTTGGGAACAAAGCTAAGTAATCCTGCCTGATATGACTAAGTAAACTTGAATTTGAAATTACCTGTTTATTGATCAACAATAAACTTTATATATAAATAAAAACAAATAAAAACATAGCTTAATACCAATGACAAAAAACTTCATTTCTAATTCTGGCAGAAAACTTTCACACTGAGCTCAAATGTACTCAAAATATAGGACGACCACTAAGAACCAATTACTAAGACCCAATCATATAAAAATATTAAATATATTACATTTTCCTGGACTATTTAACTAATCTCATGTCCCAATTTCATAATAAAATAACCGATGAGCAAATAAAATTGTCTGTTTAAAGAGATGCCACTAAGCAAGTAACGCCCACAAGTTTTGTAAAAGATGAAAACTCAAAATCCTATTATTGTTTTGGTAGGTGACCAAGCATTAAATTATTAGTTTTCAAATCAGTTAGTAAAAAGTGTTACCGCAATACTAAACTGATACCGTTAACAGTAGTTTTTTTTTTTTAACACTAATTCTCAAACCAATCTTTCTTACACAATAGTACCTCATGTTGACACAATGTAAGCATTTTGCAATCTACAACGATTACATGTTGAGATTACATGAATCTGATTGTCACGCCCCGCTGGAAACAAACAAACTTAATGTTTGATAAAAAGTTGAAGGAGATCCAATAAACACAAGACAATGACTGGCACGAGGGCCAAACCCCCATTCTCTAGGAATACAAGCAGGTGAGTCATCCGGCTATACTTAGCCACCTCACAAGCTAGGAAAAGACTCCACTTTGCCACAGAGGCGACCCTTTGAATGTTTGTAGAACTCTAAATTAGAATCGTAGAGCCGAGTGGTTAGAGTGTTTGTCTCCAGTTCTGAAGACTCAGAACTCCATTTGACGACTCAGCCTTACCATTGATAAATATCTAAGAACAGGTTTAGCGAAAGATGGTTGCCAGAACAGTACCATTCTATTCCCAAAACCAAACTGCTAGGACTATTCCAGAATGAAGAAATGAAATAGAGGGGATAAACATATAGGGGATAGTAGATAATTATACTCAATATTTAAAGAATACTACTTCATAAACTTAACCTAGGCATTACTATTTATGTATTTTTATAACTATAAAATTGTACTTGTAGAAAATTATTAACTTTTGTTGGGTTTGAAATTTCAATACTTTTACTTTTATATTTGAGAGCAATTTAAACCGTGAATAATGTGCTTGGGAATTTCCGTAATAAATATCACATGTATGTTCAACGGAACAAAATAGAAACATTATGTGGAAATTATTAGGAAATCCTATGTGTTTGCACTCACACTCAATATATTTTACGATATCAATCAATATATATTTTTTTAACATTGGGATTGCTTAGTAAATGTAAAATGTTTACAATCCGAAATTATAAAATCTCTCACAATATGTGTAATTAATGACATGTGCAACAAGCTTCATTTGGCCACAATTATCATACTAAAAATACTAAAAACATAAACATTGCCTCAATTAGCAAAACTAAAATAGTTAAAATTACAATACAAAAACTATTCCTAGTTCTGGGAGACTAAAAAATTCCACCCGGAAAAGAAAAAATAAGAAATACCATGTGGACATCAAGATTAACGACAAATAAGTCAGGTGACAAGTAGAAGAGTAAACAGATCACAAATAAATCATCAGCGTAATTATCAAGCAACACAGCAATGTAAACAAACTGCTCAGGCTGGAGGGCCGGCCGCCGAGACTGTTGCCAACTGACTAAAAATACAAGATTAACGCAGGCAGACACTTCTGCCAGATCATTTTTGTATCCGGGTTTAAAGACAACCAACTGCATCCAATGTAGAAAACTGTATTTTCCACTAAACTAAGTTGACCATTTGAACATTTAAATTTGGTTTGGTTGGTTTTTTACAGTCTATTTGACATATAAACTAAATAGATTAGGTGTAGTCAAGAAAATGTGAAATACTTAACACTCACTCAATTTTTTTATTGAAATAAATATGATCTTAAACGTAGAATAAACTCCCTAAGTGTTTTACACAATTATTGTGAGATTTTGAAAAGTATACATTAATTTTTGAGCAACTTTTAATAGCCTAGCTTTATTTAGGAAGCGTGTAATCACAAGGTTCATGAAAGGGAGTTAACTGTACCTACAAAACTTTGAATTATAATTTAATTTACATTGACTGTGACCGCAAATGCCTGCCAAACACAACACAACCAGACATGTTTAAATGTTATGTTTAATACAGCACAGTTAAAATGAGTCTACATGAAGAAGTTGACAAAATTGAACAAGACAAGACGATCCTACTATTCCACACTCAAACTGCTTATTGTGTCTGAAGGCTGAGTGTGTTAAAATGTTTTAGGATCAACCAACGGAATATAACACAACAGAAAAAAAAAGTTGTTGTGTCTTCTTATTTGATGTAAAGCTATTTTCCTAACATGTCCAGCTATAAAACTCGCTAAGATAATTATTCGATGGCTGGAATTGGCCTACCTGATAATAACATGGAAACAACAATAACAACCAACAGGCACAGTTTGTCAATTTCGACAAGCCATAGAATGTTTTGAACACATGGGAAAATGACAGCACAATGACAGGTTTAGTTTGGCAGAAAAGCACCCACGAGTTAGTTTTGACTACAGAAATAGCGAGTACCAGACAAGTTAAGGCGCCAATGTAGGCGGGGCATACTTTACCTGCGGCCAATACGACACTACAGGGGTAATTAATGTTTGTTAGTGAGAATCAATTCTAATACCTGTGGCGCAATAAGCAACATTGACTTTGGTAAGATTAAGATGAAAAATTGAGCAATTGATAAATAATGAAGAAACCCCTTTTTATAGACCTTTTTATCATTCAGATTTGCTTAAACTATCCTCAATTTCAAAGAATATAAAAGTTACAATTAATATTTTTTTAACATTGAGTACTCAATATTCTCGTGTTAACATTAATAAAACATGGTGAATAAATACCTAAAATACCTCATATTATGAAACATTTTATCAAATTATGACACTCTTAAAAAGTTTTGAATGTAGAAAACAACGATTTACATCACCTTTTAAATCGTTTTAAAACATACATTTATAAACATTTACAACAGAAAAGGATGACATTCGACAGTAACCCAAAGTCAACGAGTAGTTAGCAAACTGCAAACAGATTAGTTTCCACCAAGCAAAGCACTCGTTACGGAAAACTGTAGGAAAACGAGTACCAAAGAAACGAGCGAAGGGTGTCTCAAATTGGAAATAGTTCCTGAAAGATGTCTTGCCGTTGGGACGGGCTGTAGACACTTTGGGCGTCGCACTTCGTTGGTCGTAAACCTTCCTCTTGGCATCTGTTGAAAGTGTGCAGCGTTAAACTATCTATCTACAGACATTGACTGTTAGCTGACATTGATGTGCTCACAACATGTTAGTCGGGAAGGCAACACCAAAACACTATACGTCTCATGCAGTGATCTACTTGCTTTCTAGACCCTCTACATTTTAAATAGTTTTGTTAATTATTTACCTTATAAAACAAACTAAAATATTCACAACTATGTGTTTAAAAGTCACTCAATACTTGAGAAACAATAAAAAAATGTTGCTAATTTTAATTTCAGAAAATTAATAACACTACATAAAATGTCATCCCTTTTTTCATTTTTATTTCTAAATAGTGCTTAAGAAATATGTTTAGGCTAATTTTGGTATGAATTTCTTTATAGCAGAGAACCTTTTAAAAACATCCAAAATATTGCCCTGAAATCTACCTTCTGCTATTTGCTATTTCCCGAGTAACTCTGGTGAAACATCTAACTACAGTACGGTCCACGAGAGTCTGCAGTTGAGGGTGGAGCCTATTTACCACGTAACTTCGAAGGAACCAATGAGGACCTCATGGACCAAATCTAATAATACCAGCTGATTTGAAAATTGTTTAGTGTATTTTAATTAGTGTCCAAAATTATTGAATGGGCAATGTTGCAACGTCGCACTAGCCTTGTTTTGTGATTGGCTGCCGCCAACTGCAGACTCTCGTGGTCCCTACTGTAGATGTGTTGATGATGTACAATTGTGGTCTCAAAAAAGGGTTAAGTTTCCTGTGTTACATTACATAGCAATTTGTCGTACTTTCAATTAAACTACAACAGATGTCTCCAATAGTAACAGATTCAGATACACTTTATTCCAGATTTACATTTACATTACCTATATAAATATAAATACGGAAAAGCGGCAATAAATAAAATTAATTCTAGAACAAGTTATCAAATAACATTAAATAAGCAGGAACATTTCCTTAATATATAAATATTTTCAATTTCTTTTCAAATGTCTTAATATTATTAATTTCTACGATATCTTTTCTTTAGGCAGAGAATAAAAAACCATAGTAGGCCTACCTGCAGCTGAAGGTTTTTTTATTATAAAACTCTAAATTATGTCACTGAATGGCTGGGTAGTTCTGATGCTGAGTATTATAATTATGTATGATTCCCAATTTCGGAAATGTGTATTTTTATTCATTTCACATTTTAGATTGATTATAGTAGTTTTATAAATTTATAATCCATACACTGTAAAGATATTTAATTTAGCAAAATACTCTTTGCTGATTGGCTGATTCCTAAGTTTATCCTGATGTGTATGAATTAAAAAATAATAACATACTATCTACATTTTGAATGGTTGTTGCACCATGTAACCGAATCCAATATTTGAGCATATTAAACCTTTAGTAAATCATCCAAGGAGCAGAGTTTAGACTAGTTGTGCAGCATAAATAATAGATATGTAAAAAATTTAGTTTTTAGTTTATCAATGTGGTACAACCAAGATAAATTTTGATCAATTATTAGCCCTAAGAATTTAGTTTGAGTGACTTGAGTTAAGTAGTCTAATTGTTATCAATTTTCAATTGAGGGTTTAAAGGCTTTTTTTGGGCAGTTGAAAATTTATGTAATTGGTTGTTTTTGCAAGATAAATATTCATAATATATAGATTCAAGGCTATTGCCTATGTATTCAATATCATTTTTTGATCTAACAGAAACTGTTAAATTTGCATCACAGGTAACACAGATAACTCAAATCTTTATTTGTTAATTCTGATGATCAGATACATGTCCATAATGAAATCAAGCGCAAGGTAAAGTTTTTGCTATGTAGCGTTCAATTTAAGATAGACAAGACCAGGGTTTGGACTGTTTGTTGAAACACAAGATGCAGGATACACACAGAGAAGGAGTGTAAAGTAGCAACATCTGTGTTGTGATGGTGTCACATGCAGCTGGTCTCTGTGTGAGGTCAAAGAACCCATCCATTGCTGCTCTGTCCCATTAGATAGCGCTCACTGCTCTATTGCTATTTTGTTACCTTATTTACATAGTTAACTCTGAATAGACTGCATCGGTTAACTGTGTTTTGTTTTGCGGATTTGAGAACAAAATACTCTTATCACATATTATATCTAAAAAAATATGAACAATTTGTTAGGTTTTATGAGATAAAAATAACCAACAGTAACCCTTATTAAGCTGCACTAGTTAAAGAAACCTAACCTTCCAAACAAATGAAAATCCTAATTAAATTAGATAATTTTAGTAGCCTATGAAGAAAGGCGGTGGTATTCCTGGACCATTTAGGTAATATTAACATAATTTAGGTAACATAATGGAACACCTTTTACAGAAAAGGTTTCGATAGTGTATTGTGAATTTTACAATTAATTACAAACATTAGTTATCCATTAAATAATTGTACAGTATTTTACATATTTTGTTTGTCCTTGCTATGCTTTATCTTTGCACTCAAATGCACATTAATGATTTGCACATAACTAAACAACATGCTACTTATCAATACTTCAATACTACTGTTTTTTTTTGTTTTTTTTTTCACAGGCACATTCCTCTTAACTTAATTATGATCCACCAAATTTTTTCAAAGGGGATCAAGATTAGGGATTTAGGCCTACTATGTACAGTAAATACAGTAGTTAAATTCTAAGTTTTTAATAAAAAATCAAAATCACATTTTTTGACAATGAGTGAAAGAATAACATAAAATTTTGATCAATACTTGGCCTTATTAACACTACAAGCAAATACAATTATAAAAGTGAATTGCTCGATTGGTACCTTTACTGTCTCCAGCGCAATCGACTAACAATTACTAGGCCTTGATGGAAAGATTGGCAATAGACAAACACCATCAAGGCTAGACTGAGGCGGATCAAGAATATTGTGTATGCTGTTTCTGACTTATTTTCATATTTAAGACAAGGGTAGTCTTTAAAATATTTAGTTTGTTTTAGCGAAATATAATTTGTTATAACTTACAGCTGGTTGAATACAAAATATTCAATATAACTATGAGGTTAGTTTATTTACTCTGAGATTCTGTCATTGATTATAGGAAATAAGTAATATTCTATAACCATTGCTGTATACGAATTAAAGCTCACGAATATTCAAAAGAAAGCTTATGAAAATTATTTTACTTTACTACTCGACTTTTTGAGGAAAGGTTGGGAAAATAACAATGATCTTGTTTAATTCATCTTGGAAGCTTTTTCTTTACTATAAATTTTGAACTGCTTAAACTATGCTTGAATTAGTAATAGACACACTATAGTACATAGGACGGGCAAACAGCTTGTTAATTAAAATAATAATTGATAAATATATAATGAAACAACAAAAACTGAAGACGCAGAGCTCAAGATATTCCATTACATTATTCAGGCATAGGCAGCCAAAATAGGATTTCTGTGGATTTAGCTTACCCAGATTTTGGGGCATGGCCTATAAAAATATCTTTGTGTACACAATTAAGTAAAACTAATATTAGAGTGTATAACTTTTAATATTTTTTTATAAATAGCAACCAAACTATGTACAAAACGCAGCACTCATAACTACATGTCAAGAATTGTCTGACAAAGTATGTTTAGCCATTATTTATCAGTTATAAAAACTTAACAAATTGTAAAAGTTCTTTTATTGACACATGTTTAACAGATCGGAAATCACATCCTGCTAATAAGGATACCTTTTACCTTAGACTATAATAGTCAATGTTTTTACTGTGATACCGTACTTGCATTTGGCTAGTGGGTCTAATATCTTGTTGGATTAGTAAAATATCGTGGTCTATTAATCAAATCTTAAGTTCTATTCAACTTAACGTCTTTGTCTATTAGTTAAACCTCTTGTTATCTAAGTCAAATATCTTGGTTTGGACCTATTAGTCAAATGTGAGATCTATTATTCAAACTTGTTTATCTTTAAGTCATATGTCTTGGTTTAAACCAATTAGTCAATTGCCTTTGCCTATTAGTCAAATGTATTGATGTATTAGTCAATGTATTTTGGTCTATTAGGTCTAAATATCTGCAGATGTGGGGATGGAGAAGAGAAGAGGAGAGGAGAGGGAAAGTAATCCACGGTTGCATCATGACATTATCATTATCTAGCTCTAGCGCTGCAACAAGGTCAGTCTCACTCGGTGTTGAATCACACTCAGCTGTTGTAGATCAGTCAATGAGCTTTGTTCTAAACAACACTGACCAAATACATCATAGCCTTTGTCTGGACATTAGAAGACTCTTTGGCTGCGAGATTTTGCAGTTATGGAAAACAAAATATTACACTGGGTCAACACTACAAACATTACTTTTAAATTAGACTCACAATCGATGCAAACCGGTAAAACTTAAGTGATCAGTTTACATTCTACCAATATGGAATGAAGTATTAACTTATCACATTGTTGAACTTGACTAACGGTACCTAACTTTCCAAGGTAACAAAGTTTTGTCACTATTTCTAATAGTTACACCTGTTGTGTAATCTATAATATTAAAACGAAACAGTGTTTTTTTATTTCACGAATCTGAATCAACCACTCGACGGATTTTCATGATTTTTGTGTTGAAAGAAAGATAATTCTGAGAACTAGGGAATGTCGAAGCCATAAATGTAGTTTAGGGTCCCAGAATTTTAGAAATTAAAGTTTTAATTTTTAAAATGTCTAGCAGCCGACGCTAAGATTCTAAACTACTTTTGGCATAAAATAATTTGCTTAACATAACAGCTGTAAACATTCAGCTTTTGTGTCACAAAATCAGCATTTGGATAAAAATTTAAAGACATACTTAGGGTTGACTTATTTATACTATGTGTAATGCTAATCATTGATACGTTCAATTCTTCTGTAAGAGGATGACAGATTACATAGTAAAATACTAGGATGTTCAAATTATTTTTTAAAGCAATCTTTGTAATCTTCGATTTGTTTTAGAGCAATATAATATTTGTTTTAACTAACAGCTGGTTAAATATAAACTATGGAACTATGAGGTTATTTTATTTTTGTCATTGATTATAGGAAATAAGTAAGATTAGTAGAGATAATTAGACCACAGTTTAAACCACAGTTTTAACCAAAATTAATTAAACCACAGTACAAATCGAGGCTCTGTACACGAGTTTTATAAAAAAGGATAAATGCGAATTATTTTACTGCTCCACTTTTCAAGGAAAGATTAGAAAAATAACAATTTTTACATGTTTTAATTCTTGATGGTAGCTTTTTGTTTACAATTAATGTTTGTCTGCTTTAACTTTGTTTGGATTAGGCACGGAAATATTGATCTCATAAAAAGAAGATCAAGAATAATCAGGAATTACGATTTTAAATTACCACCACAACCTCAGTCGGGTTTTATACAAAGATAAACAGATGGATGACATAGATTGAACACAACGTCAACATTGACCTAGGATACTGCAATTAGACAAACCATCCTTTTATGAAATCGTGTTCAGTTGTGGTTACGTTTGGGGGCGCCTATATCAGCGCCCCCAAACGTGAAAATATCACTTTTTTCAACTATGAATATATTGTAGTTTAAATGAACTAATATGGGAAATTACGATGTACATTTATTCAATGAGGGTGGGTAGTTATCAAGGATAGAACTGATAACGGTATGGATAATAAACATTGACAATTACGTCATTAGCTTTACTAGCGTGTTTACGTTTTATATTCCTGCTACACGTGACCAGTTCTTTTTTCAAATGATATTATTTGAATCAAACAGCTGTTTTAAAACAAACTGTTACTGTTTTTACTTTTCTTTGTTTACGCTTATTTATTTAGCAATTAATACAGTGAAATTGATATAAAGGATAGGTGTGATGATTAGTTTTGATGTTACGACACCAAAGTTAAATTATGTGTACTGTGCATTTTATTGGATACTATTGTTTTATTTTAGGTAGTTTCTATTCAGACCTACTGGAAATTGTGTATAGTAGTTGTATTGTGGTGATAATAATTATGGAAGAGGCAGGTATGCTATGGAAGGCGGTATCGGTATCGTTGACTAGGTCTATACACTTCTCAATTGACTATTACTTTCTCTACTGTAGGCTACTTATAATCAGTGGGCGTCTGTGCGAATCGGCTGCAAATCTCACTTCAACGCTTTTCACATGGTAAAAATTGCAGAATTGCTGTTTTATTGGAATAAAAACATATTTGGCCACACAACATTTGTTTACAAGATGACTTTTTCAAATTAAAACTGCAAGAAACTTTGTCTTTATTTGTGTAAACTAGCTGATCTGAATTGTACACGGTTTTAACTGACGACTGAATTTCCGTACGTAGGACGGGCTAACACCTCGTATTTTTTAAAACTAAAGTGAGTAATAATCTAAAATAATATATACATGTTATTTTAGTAGAGACAAAACATGTGACATCAGTCAGTGTAAAAAAATGTACATCACAAATAAAGAAAGTTTGATTTTATCATACCTTATGCTACTTGAACAACTTGTGATGGTTACTGCCAATTGAACAACTAAAACTACTATCCTTTGAAAAAAAATCATTTAGTTAGGCATTAAAAAATGTTATACCCTACCTTTACATCCAGAAAGCTAGGCTCCAGCCCAAAACCACTAAACATATTATTCGAGAGTAGGCAAAGGCTCTAGAGGGTTGCACGAGGTGTTAACACATAGATAACTTCAAGCCTATATTGTCATAGACATGATTCAGCATGAGATTTTTATCTTGATTAATTTGTATTCTACTTTATAAGAGTTGTACACCAACATTACATGTTGAACTAACGTTTGGCTGAGACTCAACAGCCAAGTATATTTCCAACTTCCCGCTTAATTGGACCAATTTCACTGATTCACTCAAGATGATTTGTCTTCACAGCTGTTGCATTCTTGTGATCAAGCAGATTATCTCGCAAAGTTTGCAAAACAAGAGACAATAAATCCACATTCCCACATCAGTCCATTAACATATCACCTCTCCTCACTGGGTAAAGTGCAATGATAAACATTGGCCAACACTTAGCCAATGAGGCTTTCCATCAAGATTATCAGCCTTGTCACATGGGTGGTCAAGATTGGTTGGTTGGTCTATAACTCATGTGACTAAGACGGTGTTACATTAAACTTTAAACAAATACTTGGCAAAACAAATTGACTTCATAGCCATAACTGAATATTTGTTATTTACTGTACACATATTTCTTTGACAAGAAAATGCCCTCATTCAACATTTTTTGAAGATGATTTGAACTTTGGGAACTTTATTTCAGCTGCTAGTTTGTTATATCAAATTAAATCTAGGAAGGATGTGAAGCATAAGAAACATTTTACAATCAAAACCACAAAGAAACATATTATAACAAATTACTTACCATCTGATAGGACTTCGTAGGCTTCTGAGATCTCTTTGAATTTCTTGTTAGCTTCATCTGGATTGTCGGGGTTCTTGTCTGGGTGCCATTTCAGCGCCAATTTCCTGTACCTGTGAACAAAACCACTTTCATTGAGACCACTTAGCAAGGATTAAAAGTTATTATGCAAGCTCAATAAAAGCATTCACTTTCTGTTGTACTGGTTTCTGTATTTTGATGGTTGTTGCTGGAGCAACTCAAATGATTACAAAATGGTCAATGAATGGTAATACTTATTCTAACCAAGGTATACCACCTGATATTAAAGAAAATTTCACTATAAAACTAAAATACTGAACAAATCAAATTCTGTGGCAAAATTGGAGTTGAATTTTAAGTTAATTCATTATTATTATTATTATTGCACAAAAAGCCTCTAAAGGTAGTTAAGATTGCAAATTTACCAGTTTGTTTTGAACAAGTCATCACATATTTAGCAAAGCGATTACACATTTGGCAACATCAGCATAAATAGCCTGGACTGACATTAGCTTGCATTTCACATATGGCTGCACTAGCATTTCCATGTCATGCTATAGAAATGTTTATATTGGATCTAGATAAAAGTGCAATCTGAATGAGGCAAGCAAGTAGTCTATTATTTAAATTAACAAATATCTATATTTCCTGCATTTTATGTCCCCCTCATATTAACTAGCCTACTCTTTTCGTAAAACTATTAAAGACAATTCCACACCAACTAATTTATCACACAACTTATTTATCCAATTGAATTATTGGTGTATATAAAGCAAATAAACACAGATTTTGCTTAATTGGATAACGGTTTGAAAGCAGTTGATATAAACTGTATCCAGCTAAGTTAGAGATGTGTCTGTAAACTACTGTACTCAGTATTGGAGCTTGGAATTCTTTTCATAACACTTCTTGTGTGTGGACGCAACATTACAGGTGAGGGTTATGAGTTTGCAATCCATCGCCATTGTTTTTATCAGCAAAAAAAAGCCTCAATCAAAACAACTTTGAAAAAATCAGTTTGACATGTTAAAGTTCATTCCTCTCGGAAAAGGAAATAATCTCGAAGAACGTAGGAAGATCAAACGGCCTTCTGCAGTGTCCCGACCGCCGCATCGGATCTGGCCGGAGACCAGCATCAAATATAACCCTCGTCTATAACCGGGCTGCTCTCGCAGTCTCGAAATATTCGGCTTGACGGCTGCCAATAGGACAATGTAATACAGCGCATCCTGCACACCCAACTGGGGGGGAACACTCAGAGATCATAAAGGTGCAGGTTTGTAGCTAGAGTTTGGTGGCTATAACTTTTTGAATATCTTTTTGTTGGATTTTTGTATTCAGCAAATTGGCCCCTGAATGTTCTTTTTTCATCGGCATAAGTTTTATTGGGTATCTATTTAAAGCTCTTATCCTCTAGATGTGCCTTTTGCGGGTTTGGGTGATATCCCGTAAAAGCTCTTTGTCCAATAGGCTTTTAAAATTTCCGGGTTTATACTGAATTTTACTGTCCATCATCTTAACTTTTTCTTAGTTAACAATTGTTTACATCAAAACAGATGGCCACAATACAATTTTGTTTACATCCATACGATAATGGGGTCATCGTTACAGTCGGTGATGTTTTAGTGAAATCAAGTAAAATATCTATAATATTAAAACGTAACAGGGTTTTTTAATTTCACGATTCTGAATCAAACCACTTGACGGATTTTCATGATATTTGTGTCGAAAGAAAGATAGTTTTGAGAACTAGGGAATGTCGAAGCCATAATTTTAGTTTAGGGTTTCAGTTTTTTCAAAATTAAGTTTTAATTTTTAAAAAGTCTAGCAGCCGACGCTAGCAATTTAAAGTATTTTCAATGTAATTTTTCTAAGATACCTTGAAGAGATCGCGCACACAATGAAAATAACAGGTATATGATGAGAAATAATCGTTTTCACTCTTCAGTTCGTTTCACTTTTTTATGCATAATTTCATATTGTATTGGAAACTAGTTACAAAGTTCTGTTCAGGGTTTGCTTTAAAAAATTACTATAATAATAAGTTGAAGGTGATAAGTAAATTGGCAAAAAAATAGATAATTTTCAACTTCACTGACAGCAATGAAAATTGTAAAAATAATTCAAATAAACTACGGATTTTAGTCACAAAGTGATGCTGGCTGCTAGTTATGGTCAAGGATATTTGGTATTGAGATATTGATATGTTTTTAGATTGAATTCATACGACGTCCAAACACGATGGTGTGTATTTTAAAGGTGAAGAATGAGTGTTGAATGATTGTATGACAGCTTTGATCAGCTGTTTCTTTTTCCAGAGTCATTGCACTTTTGAACCATCAAAAAGCTTCTGACTTTTTTCAGGATCGAACCGGCAAAATTCTTATTACTAAGTGAGCATATCCATTTTTATTGAATGTAATGTTGAAGTTGACAATTTTACGCATGATCTGGGCTTGACATGTGAGCTGAAAGATTATATAAACCTTTGACATCTCTTCATTTTGTAGCTTCAGGTCCTGGATCAACCCCAGTTAGTTAAGTGACAACAATCTGGGTGGCAAAATAAATTATTTTTGAAAAGATTACCAAAGAATGGGGGATATAGAATGAGGTATATATCACCTGTGTGTTTGTAAGATGGAGGTAGCAGCATGGTCTTATCTCTAGAATCATATATATACAAGAATAAAGACTAAAGAGGTGAGGTACATGGTCGTAAAAGTACAAATGGTATTTATATATTTGATTACTAATCAACTAAGAACTCAACTGAGTCACTCATTTCACTGGCTTTTTCTCTGACTTTTTACCCAAACTATGTCTTGGTCTGATCCAGCCACATGTAAACAGTTTTGTTTTTACTAAAGGAAGAAGAGTAAATTTCAACAATATTGATGATGTTTCAGTTAATTTTAATGATCATACTCATACTAAATTTAGTACTTAAGATTTTATATGCAAATTTTTGGAAAAAAACTTATTTCAGAGACATTCATTCTAGCTGCCGAATACAGTTGCGGGGTTTTAAATATCACACCATATTCTTATCATTTGCTTTTTTCGGCATGGGCGTTTTCCTAGAATTGCTACATTCAGCGCTGAGCGGATGCGTACATATGTGCCAGTTAGTTGCCAAGAGGGGTTTGGTGGTTTGCCTGAGCTGAGAAGAAGGATTTGTGCTGTTCATGTTGACTTATTGACTCAAGTATGCTGAAACCGAGTTTCTTATCAAAAGTTATTACTCCTTACCGGTACGTCAAAACAAGTAATATATATTTTAGTACTCCAAAGAGTGAAGGTGTATTCAAGCTGTACATTACACCTGTTAGACAACGAAACTTAAGTTCAAAGCATTTGCGTTTAACGAGTGTACAGTTTATAAAGTGAATATTGTTGAAAAAGTGAATGGCTCCACAAACAAACAAAGAATTCTACCAACAGTTGACTTCCCAACTGTTCTTGGACCAGTCACCTGTCCCGCAGCCTGCTGCAACATACAGTTGCTGCGTAATTTGACAGCTAGAAAACTACTGCACCCAATGTATTGAGTCAGTGCCGAACATTGCAGCGCAGGGCCGGATTTAGCATTTTTGCGCCCCTAGGCCCAAATAATTTTCCGCCCCCTAGTCTGGTCACAGTTACTTTCCTTCAAACCTTTATTAAAAACTATATCATGCCCATTGACCTAAGTTAATTGCTTGAATACCACTCCTCGTTGGAATCATTGCAAGTTTTTTTTAAGAATTTACTTGTTTATAGCCTTAACAAAATGCCGTCTTAAACACTTTTAGCAATTTTATGCTTTTAATAAATGCTCACGTTTGTGGCCGTGGGACTGAAACAAAACAACTGAACCCACCGAGCATTCCTGAGAAAAAAAAACATGGCCATTGATTCCAATTCCAGGCCAAAAAACATGAACTCCATACAGTACGTGATACCATAGATTAAACATATTCCTTTAGTAGATTTGTCATCATTTCGGATTAGCTGAAAACAATTCTTGTTATTTAATAGGAGTATGTTTTATCTATGATAGTACCTAGTATGTTTGATCTATGTTTAAACCTAGTTTATCCAAAATAAAACGATCTAATCATCAACAATAGGTCGTCTCCTGGTTATATTACAAGAAATTGAAACACACATCATAGAACTAACCCTAAAATAATGGAAACAAAATTACGTCAAAACTAACGTCCAGTGTCACCAACATGAACTAGACATGAAAAAATTTTGAATTAACAATGTCATAAGAAGTCGACTTGAGTTATATTTAATCTATGGTCGTACTGCATCTAGGTTATATATTTCCAAAGCAAAACAGAGAAATATTCTGGCCAACTGTCGATCCTTAGGTCTGAGGAGAAAATGACAGCATTATTGGTGCTTTGGAGGGTATTGAATTTTTCTAAAACCTATTGCAAACTGAGATTAATATTTTTTGGTTAATTTTAAAGGTAAATTCATCGTTGTTTTAATATTCAACACAACTTATTAACTTGATCCTGCAGATTGTTGTAAACTAATCAAAAGTCAAAAGATTAGTTAATAACTTTTGTTTTGTGAGGTGAGGGTAGTAACAATGTCTAGCACGCATGCGCCCCTAATCACTCTGATCTGTAGTGCCGAGCCCAAACCAGCATAGTGGCAGTGCAGTGGCAATACGATGCGTACCCCTTGGGCGCTCGTCAACGTCAACATTCCTACAGCCTACTCCCGTATAACCAATGTTCGTTACAAATTTTGTAACGAAATTGATGCGTAATTCTGAAAAATAGTTTAGATTTCCTAACAATTATTTCTTCTTATGAACTTCAGAATCACAATGCTTTGTAGTTTTTTTTTATCAACTGTGACTATTTATTTTTTTATTTTTAGATAGCCTAGGTATAAAAAAAATACTCTCGGCCGTGCGCCCTCTGGGACCTTGCGCCCATAGGCCCGGGCCTACCGGGCCTATTGGGAAATCCGGCCCTGTTGCAGCGTAAAAATGCACAGAAGTATTTGGCACCTAGGAATACCTATCATAATGTTTGAACATCTACAATGAACAAAATATGGTACAGATACACAAACATATTTTAGA